CCACTGCCCCGAGGAGGCCGGGGTCCCATCACCATTCCTGGGGACTGGGCTGAGGGAGATGGGGTGTGTGGGTCTGGGCGTCATGCAGCGCCAGGGCCGTGGCCAGCCCAGCCCAGCTGTGGGATGGTGACTCAAAGCAGGTGTGCACAGGGCACCTACGCATTCCTCGGATCACAGGTGTGACAGTGGGTCAAGCATGTATGTTCTCAGAGCCCCGGGCCCAGCCCTGGGAGACACAGCCTCCTAGATATTTCAAGGACACTGGCCAGGCGCCGCCCCTGCGGCTCAGCAACCTTCCAAGACATTAGTTTGTGAGCATCTCTGGCTTATTTGCATTTATGTGACTCAGGAAGATTGGATGTGAAGCCCCTCTGGGCAAGGAGGACCGGGCAGGGCCGAGGGGCGGCAGGGACGGCTAGGCTCAGGAGAGGGCTGCACAGCGCCCCCCTGCAGGCTTGGCAAGGACTCACACCGAGTTATCTGCAGGACTTTCTCAAGCTTTTGCTCCAATTTTTTACAATTAAAAAAAATTGTGGTAAAATACACAAGCATAGAGCGCGCTTTCTTAGCCACGTCTCAGCGCACACTCGGCGGCATTAGGGCACTCATGCGGTCTGCAGCCACACCCACACCTCCAGAGCTCCCCGTCCTGCCCTGTCTCCCTAAACACCCGCCCCCCTCTTCTACAGCCTGTGCACCCCCCACCTCCCTGCATCCATGGGTCCAGGCCCTCCTGGAAGGCGGTCACGCAGCGTCTGTCCCTCTGCGTCGGCTCACTCCGCTGAGCACAGCGCCCTCAGGTCCCCCTGCGCTGCAGAGGGGTCAGGATTCCCTCTCTAAGGCTGAGGGACGGGCCCCCGTGGGGATGGACACATTGCCCATTTTTCTGTGGATGGACGCTTGGGTCACCTCCACCCTCAGTGGCTGTGAGTCACGCTGCTGTGAACACCTGCACGGATACCTTGGAGACCTTGTTATTACTTCTTTTGGGGACAGACCCAGATGTGGCTCTTTCATTTTTACAACTATGACTTTATACTGAGAAAAATGCGTTTTGATGTGCAGAGACTATTAAACGTGTGCCACCCCCAAACGCCCTCCTGTGCTTTTCTGGGGTCAGAGTGACTGACCCTATGCCCTCACCCTTTCGGATCTGTGTGCCCTGGGAGCCACCCTGGGTACCCCCTGCTCCCTGAGGCCAACAGGACAGTGTTCGGCAAACTTCCTGTGTCCTAATGCAGGCAAGCGGCCTGGCGGGGCCTGGTGGGCGGAGGGGTCCTTCGGCCAGAACTGTGCGTCTTGGGGTCCAGGGCTTCATCGGCAGGGCCAGATCTTGGGAGGAATTCTGTTTGCTCAGTGACTCAAATAAACCTGCACGCAGGTCCCAAATCAACGCAGGCCCCACCTTAAAACCAAATTTACCCTCTGCTTCCTTCCTTTGCCTCAGAGGGAGTGCGACCTGCACCCCAGCCCATGGTGGGGGGTTCTCAGCCCTCCTTGGGCCCAGGAGGCTGCCCCACCCAGGCACCCCTTGGATGGCTCTCTCAGGCCTCACAGCGAAGCAGGCAGGGTGGGGACGCCCTCCTCGTTATCAGGGAAGTTCCTGGCTTGGAGAAAATCCTCACCTTGCCAGCCCTTTCAGTCAACAGCATGGTGATAAATGCCTCTAAGCTATCAGCGTTCCCAGTGTGGCCGGGGACCTCCCCTTCCTGAGGGGAGTCCGTTTCCTCTTCATGGCCTTGGTGGTGAAATCCTTCTCTATCACATGGGGATACCCCGTAACCTTCCCCCAAACAACAGATTTCCCGTTTGTGACATCAGCGACCGCAGCAGCTGGGGGCGGGCGGCTGTGCCCTGGATGGGTGGTCCCGCTTGCCAGGCCCGGCAGCTAGGCCGGCGTTGGTCAGAAAGTGTGCCGTGACTTTGGTGGCCGAGGGGCCACCATTCTGAACTTGTCAAAATGGGCAAAAAGTCCAAGAAACAGCAGTGTGGCATCACACCATTTCAAGGATGAGGGGACAGGAGCTTTCTGGGCCCCAACCACCCCAAAGTCTCAGCAGGGGCAGGGGGATAGGACAGAGGCTGTTTCCTGCCTCATTGGCTTGTTCTGTCCTGGGGACCGCACCTCTGAGCAGTGGGTCCTGGGGTCCCGCTTGCCACCGAGGAGCCTGAGGTGCAGAGCCAGTGGGTGCTGGGCAGGGTGCAACCTTCTCCAGTGCCTGGAGCCCTGGCTGGCCCTCTGTGGCTAGCACCTCCTGCTTAGGTCATCTGCAAAGTAGGAATAACTTTCTGCCGCTCAGGTGGGTGGCCTTAAGGACTGAACTCAACAGTGAAGCCACAAAGTGGGTGGCACTGGGTGCCCCCACCAGGGCTGGCTGAGGGCTGCCCGGTTGGTCCATACTCAGGCCGCCCGAGATGGGGCCGGCCAGTAAGGTCCCTGGGGCCTGGACACAGCTGTCCACCCTGCTGCAGAGGCAGGCTGACTCTAGGCCTTGAGATGTGTGGCTGGCCCAGGCCCGGCCTTTTCCTGGGGAGGGGGCTGTGGGGAACCTGGCATTTGAGGGTGCAAGTGTTGACCTCCAAGTTGCAGATGCACCTCAAGGCCTGGGCTGCTGGGGAGGCCCAGGCCCAGCTGCTGGCCACTCGAGCAGGCCAGTCTGTTCTCACTTTCTGGCCCCCGTGGAGCCCAACCTGGGAAGGGCCTGAAGCTGCCTCCTCAGTCCACCCCAAAGCCACCCCTGGCTCCCCAGGAAAGCCCCTGCCCCGCAGCCTTGTGGAAGGGAAGCAAGGCTGGAGCAGCTGCCTTGAGAGCTGTTTGTGGAGGGCATGGCCCCTTGGTCCAGCTGGCCAGAACCGAGGGGACCCTCAGAGCCCTGCAGGTCGCCTGCGTGGGGACCTCCGCCATGCCCAGAAACCAGAATGGAAAGGACAGAGCCAGGGAGGAGCCCTAGCCAGGGACGGTGATGCTGACGGCAGAGTCGGCCTGGACCACCTTGGCCGGGAACAGCTGGGGCTGGAGCTGAGGTCGGGCCGAGGCTGGGCTGGGCCAGGGCCCTGTGCTCCTGGTGGCCTGGAGCGCCTCCTTTACTGCTGGTGTCAGTGTCAGAGGAGCTGGAGGGGAGAGGAGTGGGCCAGCCCTGTGACCGACTGAGGCGAGGAGTCCCCTGAGGGAGAGGGGCTGCTTCCCGGTCACGTGCTGTCTGGGCAGAGGGCTGTGGACGGCATGCAGCCACGGCGGGGTCCGGGCCCACCTGCTCCCTCACACGGCAGGTGCACCTGTGCACGCTGGGACCCTGGGCTGGCGGCAGTTCCACCCTCCCTGGGTTGCGTGAGGCCAGGTCCCCATGACACACGGGCTATCTAGTGCCTGCTTCCTGCCCCAAATCAGGGTGGCAGAGTGAGTCAACCACCTGGCAATAGCAGTGACAGCCAGGAGCTGTGCTCTGGGACTCCGCCAAGGCCCTCATCCTTCACCAGCTTCCCGTCTCCAAGGCAATGCCTGGGAGACCTGCAGGGCAGGGCTCAGGCCTCTCCTGGGGGACCCCAGGAAGCGCATGGGTGATCAGATACAGGTGGGGACCGCCCGGGGCCCCCACGTGTGCCCGTGTGCCTGCACACAGCATCCCCACCCAGGGTCCCCTGCCACGTGACCCTCTTCCGGCAAGCATTTTCATGGACCCCCTTGACGAGGAAACAGGCTCATCCTGCCTGCTTGTCCCCTGTGTGGCCCCTCTCTGAGCATGAAGGCCCCAGGAGTGGGAGGGGGGGCTCACTGCCAGGCTGCTCTCCTCACCCCCGTCGCAATCCAGGATGCACAGCAGAGCCCTGGCCCCATGCGCCGCCCCCGAGTGCCCGAGGCACCTGGGCCAGGAGATGGCTCGGGAGGCCACTGGGATGAAGGACCCTGATATTTGAGGCCGGGTCACCAGCCCTACAGCTGCCCTGACTCCCGTTCTCTCCCCATGGGCCCCTCGAGAGCCCAGAACCCTCAGATGTGGGAAGGCACCAGGCCTGGGGCCTCCCGGACCATCCTGCTGGGTTGGAGTTTTGGGGGAAGTCGGGAGGGCAGCCTGGCCCTATGCGATGGCCCCAGGCAGGCCTCACCCAGTGGCCTGCTGTCCCCAGCCCCTGCACCTCTCTAAGCAGGAGGCACTCTTCCTCACACTCAGGGCATGAGGAAGGCACAGCTCAGAGCAGAAAACCAGGCGACCAGAGGAGCCTGGCACAGCCTGAGAGAGCCCGAAGCACATGCTCAGGGCAGCTCTGGCATGTACCTCCGCCCCAGAACCCTCCCTAGCAGGGTGGGGGGTCCAGGCCCCCTTTGTGGGGCAGTATGGCACCCATGTGCCTAGCTCCTGGGCAGGACCTGAAGCTCACATGCTCACGGTCTGGGACCAGGTGTCCTTGACACTGTGACGCCCTCTCAGCCAATGACCATCAGGGCGAAGACCCTTTGGGATGATTTCTGGGCTGTCAGCAGCTCCCCAGCCTGCCCCTCGTGGCCACAGGCCCACATGTGACTCGAGCTGGCCCGGGGCCACCCGCTGCCCACTGGAGGCCGGGAGCCTCAAGCACAGCCAGGGCCCCAAGCACTGGGGAATGCTGCCCCTGCAGCCCCTCTCCAGTGAGGGTGAGGCCGGTCCTGGCAGCCCCACCAGCATCGAGGATGCCCATGGCTTCTCCAGGCACCAGGAATTCAGGGGTCCAGCTGCATGGAGGCATGCCCAGGGAGAGTCCCGGAGTGGGGGCATGGGAAGAGAGTGCCTGCCGGCCAGGACTTGAGAGACCTCCGTCAGGAAACCGGGCCCTGCCCGGCACACACGCCCGTCTCTGCCTTTCTTGGGCCACTGGCCAGCCTGAAGCAAATGCCCATGTTTACCTGGGTGAGGGGAACTCAGGCCCCGCCCCCCCTACGCAAAGCCACTGGGGCTGGAGCCAGCTCTGGGCTACAAAAGGCTCCTGCAGACCCAGGTCCCTCCTCAGAGGCTGCCCTTGGGGCCGTCACCCCTCCCTGCACACAATGGGTGGCTGGAGAGAGCCGGCCCTGCTCTGGGCCCTGGCTCTTGCCCTGGCCTGTGCCCAGCAAGCAGGTAAGGCTCATGCTGGTGGCTCCCCCGCGTCCTGGGGCAGCCCTGGTCCTGGAGGCAGCAGGCAGCTCAGAGGCCTGTGTGGGGCTCCCAGCACAATGCTGGTCCCGGAGCAGATCCTGGCACCTTGGCCCCTACCCCTGGCTCTAGCCACCCTGCTTCTGGCTCATGAGTTGGGGTCCAGGTGGGGACAGGGTCTCTGAGGTTGGGCTGCTCCCCTGAGGCAGAAAGCAGGAGCCCAGGGTCCCCCAGCCCCTGGCCCATGTGCACCTCCCTGCTGCTTACTGCCATCTGACCCCTGCCAGGCCTGATCTGAGCAACTTTCAGCCCCCTAGGCCAGCCTGGGCTGCCCCTGCCCCCAGGGCCCCCGGCCCCCATTCATCTGCAGTTTGCCAGCTCACTTTCCCCATCTGGGCCTCAAAGGGGGGCTCTAGGGAGTGTGGCCTGGGCTGGGGGTGTGCTGGGGAAGCTGTGGCCCTCTGAGACTCCCTCTCATTCGGACCTGAACCTCCCCGCCTCTGCTTCCCAGGGGACACCGGCTCCTGGACAGTGTAGGGTGACAGCATGCTCCAGGAAGAGCGGCCTGGGGTGGGGGGCAGGCACTCAGTGTGCATGAATGAATGGCTCCTGGAGACCCCAGGTCAGCACCAGGGGGCCCCCCAGATGCTTGCTTGGCCAGGCTGAGCAGATGTTCAAGGAGGGTTGTGGCCCAGCTGAGGGCTGGGGTGACCTAAGATGCTCAGCTGTGTGCACAGAGACCTTCCCAGCACCCAGGCCTGAGCAGAGAGGCCCCTCCCCTGTGCCCTATGGCTCAGGCCCAGCGCTCCACCCCCCCCACAGGCCAGGCCCGGGATGGCTCTTCAGAACCTGGCTACAAGCATCCAGACCTGCCTCCGGCTCCTCCAGGGGCCAGGCGGTGAGGCTCACCTGTCAGGGCCGCCCCACCTCCCTGACCCAGCAGGAAAAAGCCCCCGAGGGGCCCCTTGCCTTGGGTGGCTGCCAGCCCCTCCCCACCGAGGGCTGGAACTCAGGGGCTGGAGGATGCCTGGAGGATACGTGCCTCGGGAAGTCACCCGTGGTCCTCATCGCGGCTGCAGAGAGCGGCACAGGCTGAGGGCCAGCCGAGCCATCCTCATTTGTCTACGTTAAACTCGGGGATTTTGGCCCCCCCTACGTCCCCTTGGCCTGGAAGCAGAGGCTGGTGGCGGCCTCTCTGGGTATTCAGTGTCAGCACACACCGGGCGTGCAGGGCAGGGGATGCCACTGGTATGGCTCCTCTGCCCTTGGAGAGAGGGGTGGGCGAGGCGCGGCCCCTGGCTGGGCCGCATGCTCCAGCGTGAGGGGAGGCTTCGGCAACAGGCCCAGCCCGTCTCGGTCTGCATTGCCCCAACCGGCTCAGAGGGCGGCTCACTGCGCCTGATGCCGGCACCCAAGGGATTGTCTTGAGTCGCTGATGTTGACTCAGGTGTTTCTGAGATTCTGGGTGGGAGGAGCCCCACATGCAAGCAGAGTGCTCAGGGCCCTGTGGGCCTGAGAACCCCAGGGGTCCTCTGAGGGCAAGAGGTCCGCAGAAGCCTCTGCTGCCAAGGTGCCCCGGTGGGTGGGCACACAAGGCAGAATTGGGAGCCTCAAACGGCCAGTTTGGGTGGGGGTGGTGGAGACCCCCACCTCTGTGGTGTGTGTGGCCGGTGGGAGTGGGGCCCGTGCATCACTCAGCTCCGTTCCTGCAGGCAACCCGGCCCGTGGGATGACCATCCTCCCACCTCTGGTGCGAGGTGAGTGAGACCCCACGAGGCAGGGTTGGGGGGCGCCTGCGGCAGCCCAGCCCCCCCTCCCTCAAACCCGGGGGCCCAGCTTTCTGGGTGGGTGAAGGCGTACAGGACCCACGCAGATGCCTGGAAGCCCTGCCCCCAAGTGGCAGCAAGTCCCAGAGCACTGGCTGCTTGGCCCACAGCCCAGAACCCGGCACACAATGGGCGCGTGTGCAGCACCTGGGGCGACTTCCACTACAAGACCTTCGACAGCAACGTCTTCCGCTTCCCCGGCCTGTGCAACTATGTCTTCTCCGCGCACTGCGGCGCTGCCTACGAGGACTTCGATGTCCAGCTCCGCCGAGGCCAGGAGTCCAACACCACCACGCTGATCAGGGTTGTCATGAAGATCGACGGCATGGTGGTTGAGCTGACCAAGAACTCCACCCAGGTCGACGGCCACCTGTGAGTCTGGGCCCCGCAGAGGGTGAGGGCATTTGTGGGGGTGGTGGGGGACTGTGGGGCAGTCCTGGAGAGTGGAGTGGACGCGGAGCTCCCCAGACCCCTGTGCCCTGCCTGCCCACCCCTCCAGAGATCCAGGCCTCTTGCTCTGCCCGTGGAAATGGGCCCCTTCCTGATCCTGTGACTCCAGGGTCCCACCGGCACGGTCCATGGGGACCTCCCTGCCTACAGTCCAGACCCCACTGTCCCTCCTCGTGTGCCACTTGGCGCCTCAGCTGGGCTCTCTCTCTGCAGAGTTCAGCTGCCCTTCAGCCAGTCCGGGGTCCTCATCCAGCAGGGTGGCGGCTTCCTGAAGGTGGTGGCCAGGCTGGGCCTGGTCCTCATGTGGAACCAGGATGACAGTCTCCTGGTGAGCCGGGGGCTGGGCGTGGGCAGGGGGTAGGGGGCCTGGGCAGAGCCAGGTGCGCGCCTGCAGCCAACAGTGCTCCCAGGGAGGGAGGAATGTGCTCCGCGGAGGGCGAGGAGCCCCAGGGTGTGGGCGTCTCCTCCGGGGCGGGTCCCTGCTCACAACGCGGCTCCAGGGAGCGCATGGGGAGGGTCCAGGGCTGGTCTCCTCGCTGAGGAGCCCCCCCACCTCCAGGGGAAGTCTGGCTCCTCCTCCCATCTGTCCGTCCATCCTGATGGCCGGGGAGGCCAGCGTTTGACATGTCCTCTCCTCTGTACCAGCTGGAGCTGGACACCAAGTACGCCAACCAGACCTGTGGACTCTGTGGAGACTTCAACGGTGACCCTGTCCTCAACGAGTTCGTCTCCCACGGTGAGCCCCACGTGTCCCCCCCCCTCTGCTCTAGCTCCTCCCATTGCACTCCCTGCAAGGCTGTCTTCCAGGGTCCCAAGCCAGATGGCTCCACCTGGGGGGCACGGATGTACACACACACAGGCCTGCACTGGTGTGCGGTTCCAACATGCAGACATGCACACACGCATAGTCCCGGCACGCACGTGCACACACAGTCCCGGTCACCTGCAATCACAGACCTCCTCCCGGTTGGACCCTGCCACTGCCTCTTGGCCCTGGAGTCCACCGCCAAGCCCTGGCCCTGTGTGACTGTGCCAGCCGCAACCCAGTCTCCGCGGCCCCACCAGGCCCGTGAAACCTCACATGATGCCCACATATAAGGGGCTTCCAGCCGTGGGGAACTGAGCTTGTCCAAGCGTCCAGCGGCCCTGGCCGGGCAGGAGCTTTGCAGGCTGGGCCAGGCTCTGAGGACCATGGGGGCTTAGGGGTCCTCTCTGGCTCTCCAGGCTTGTGCCTCATTTAATGAGCCTCAGCACACCGTCCTACAGCTGCAAACACCTGGGTGGCCCCTCACTTCATCCCCAGACCCCCTGAATGTCTGCATAGCCACTCGTAACCCAGCAGTGTGGATGGGGGTGGGGAGGCAGGGTACCGGGACGCCTCAGGTGCTGTGGGGAGCATGGCAAGGGCCACGGGAGCCTGAAGGAGGTGCGCCTCTGCAGATGTCAAGCTGACCCCCGCTGAGTTTGGGAACCTGCAGAAGATGGACGGCCCCACAGAGCAATGTCAGGACCCTGTCTCTGCACCCCCAAAGGACTGCTCCCCTGACTTTGTAAGTGCCAGCGTGAACGGGGTGGTGTGGGGCGTGTAAGGTGGGTCCTGTCCCTGCAGAAGTGGCTGAGGTACTGGTGGCAAGGGCCAGAGCCTGGACTCAGCGTGGGCTCCCCACTGTACTCCAGGGCGTCTGCAGGGAGGTCCTGGGCAGCCAGCTCTTCTCAGGCTGCAACGCCCTGGTGGACGCCAGCAGCTATGTGGAGGCTTGCCAGCACGACTGGTGCCATTGTGAGCACGCCAACCGGACCAGCTGTGTGTGCCACACCCTCGCCGAGTACTCCCGCCAGTGTGCCCATGCCGGGGGGCTGCCCCTGGATTGGCGGGGCCCCGACCTCTGCCGTGAGTGCCCCACTGGCCTGTACCCTGTTGCGCTGACCTGCCTCGTCCCAGAGGCAGGGGCAGGGCGTGACGCAGGCCACGGGCTGTTCTCCTGCAGCTCAGACCTGCCCCAGCAACATGCAGCACCGGGAGTGTGGCTCGCCCTGTGCCAACACCTGTTCCAACCCGGAGCGCGCCCAGCTCTGCGAGGACCACTGCGTGGCCGGCTGCTTCTGCCCCGAAGGTGAGACAGAGCCCCACATCCGCCAGTCTCCCAGGAACCATACACATGCCTTCTGGCGCCCCAGGCAGCTGGCACTGTCACACGGGATCCGGGAGGGAAGGCCCACAGTGTCCCTGGGCCCCTGGGTCTGAGGAACCCCTGTGGGCAAAGGGCTGTCCCCTCCACATGCTTATGCAGTGGATGCAGCCCGGCACCTGCCACACAGCCTGCCTTCTTCTGCAGGGATGGTGCTGGATGACATTGGCCGCACTGGCTGCATCCCTGTGTCCCAGTGCTCCTGCGTGTACAACGGGGACACCTACGCTCCGGGGGCCGTCTATGCCACAGACTGCACCCGCTGGTAGGCCCCTGGCCCCTGCCCCGTGGCTCTCCTGGAAGCTGTGGCTGGGTGTGGGCAGCTGGTTGGCCCCAGTCTATGCAGGCCTGGGCAAGACCCCCATCCAGCTCTGGTGTGGAGGTGCTGGCACACAGGGGGTCTCTCGCGCTCTCAGCACCTGCTCCAGCGGCCGGTGGAAGTGCCAGGAGGTGCCGTGCCCGGGAACCTGCTCTGTGCTGGGAGGCTCCCACTTCTCCACGTTTGATGAGAGGCAGTACACAGTGCATGGGGACTGCAGCTACGTGCTGGCCAAGGTGCGGGGCCCCGGCTCTGACCGGCACGGAGGTTTTCCGGACCACACTTGGGTTTTTGCATGGGTCCATGCCCAGCACTCTGGTCAAGGCGGTGTGGTGCTCTGCACCTGGGCCATCCGGGCGTTTCCAGGGTGGGTGGGGATGGAGGGAGGCAGCAGGGGCTGGGGGCTGCTGGGCTGAGGTGGAGGACCGTGTCTGCAGCCCTGTGACAGTGGTGCCTTCGCCGTGCTGGCCGAGCTGCGCCGGTGCGGGCTGACGGACAGCGAGACCTGCCTGAAGGGCCTGACGCTGAGCCTGGGCCGGAGCCAGACGGTGAGTGTGGAGATGGGCCTGGGGTGCCTCGCACCACGGCGTCTGCCTGAGCCCTTGACCCTGGCGTGGACTCGTTGTGCCTGCTTCTCACGGGCCTTCTGAGTGATCCCACCTCAGGGAGGGTCACCAGAGCCCCTGCCTGCCCGGGGACGAGGGCAGCTCGGCTTCTCTGCTGAAGGTGACTTCCCCTTTTACAAAGTCACTTCGGTTTTACGTGGCCAAAAATGCATCTCCTCACAGAAAACAGACAATCAGGCTCAGCTCAGGGCAGACGGGGGCCACCAGCCCTCCGAGTGGGAGCCGTGTCCGGCAGGCCGGGACTCATGGGCACATTTCCTAGCCTCTGGGGCTGCTGGGTGGCATTGGCAGAGCCCTGGCTGGGCCTGGAACCCTGCTCTGTGCTGCCCCTAGGCCATCGTGATCAAGGCCAGCGGGGAGGTGTTTGTGAACCAGATCTACACCCAGCTGCCAGTCTCAGCAGGTGAGGACCCCCTCCCAACCCCCCCACCGAGGGTCCTGCCCTCACATCCACTGAGACCTTTGACATCTGTGTCCGTAGGCAACGTCACAGTCTTCAGACCATCCACCTTCTTCATCGTTGCCCAGACCAACCTGGGCCTGCAGCTGGCTGTGCAGCTGGTACCCACCATGCAGGTGTTCCTGAGGCTGGTGCCTGAGCTCCGGGGGCTGACCTGCGGTAAGAGGCGCCGCCCACCCTGCACGTCCGCGCCCACCCTCGGAGCCCCTGGGCCTCATGCTGACTCCCGTGTCTCCAGGTCTCTGCGGGAACTTCAACAGCAACCAGGCAGACGACTTCCGGACCCTCAGCGGTGTGGTGGAGGGCACGGCTGCCGCCTTCACCAACACCTGGAAGACCCAGGCCGCCTGCCCCAACGTGAAGAACAGCTTTGAGGACCCCTGCTCCCTCAGCGTGGAGAACGGTGTGTGTGCCAGGGCCCCCAGCTTCAGAGGTGTAGGCCGGGACTCCCCTACCCACTCGACCCCGAAGTGGGGAAGTCGGGTGGGAAACCTCACCAGCATGTGTGTGTGTTGCAGCCCAGATAAGGTCTGCAGAGGGACCAGGGTGTTGCAGGTGGGCCAGGTGGCGGGCAGAGGTCAGGCCTTGGCACCAGGCTGGGGGCTCCTGGGAAGCGGCCTCGGAGTGGCTGCAGAGAACTACTTTGTGTGGAGCGCTAAGAACTCCTGGAGGAAGGAGGTTCGCACACGGGCCCGCGTCCGTCCGTCTGACAGCACCCGCCCTGCCTGCTGACCGCCCCTCCTCCTCTCCTGCAGAGAAGTTTGCTCAGCACTGGTGCTCACGGCTGACAGACCCCCAGGGCCCCTTCTCCCAGTGCCATGCCGCCGTGAACCCTAGCTTCTACTACGCGGTGAGCCAGCCCACTGCCTCTCCCCTTCAGCCAGGGGGCCACCCCCAGCAGGTCCCGAGGGCCCTGGCGGCAGGGTCCAGGGCCAGCTGGTCTCCTGGGAGGTGTTCCCCTGGCCCTCGTGCCTGATTCACATCCCCTGTGTTTGAGCCCCAGGCGTTTGCAGCCTCCTGGGCTCTGGCGTCTGGACGAGAAACCAGTGGCTGCCGATGGCTCTTGTGTCTGGGGCTGAGCACATGGGCTGGGCCTGCAGGGTCACAGAGAGAAGGGGCTGTGTGCTTCCAGTGCCTGCCCAGCTGGGGAGCTCAGCTCCAGGACACGCTGCAAGGGAGTGGGGTCCCTGGTGCAGGCCTGGGAAGGGGTCCTGGAGGGGAGGGGGCAAGGGGTGGCACCGGGGCTGCTTGCCATGCGTGGGCTGGAGTCCCTAAGAGCCAATGGCCCGTCCCCAGAACTGCATGTTTGACACATGTAACTGTGAGAAGAGTGAGGACTGCATGTGTGCCGCCCTGTCCTCCTACGTGCGTGCCTGCGCCGTCAAGGGCGTGCTGCTCCGTGGCTGGAGGGCCGGCGCCTGCGGTGAGTGTCTGGGGCCAGCTCCGCCTCCAGGTGGGGTGGGGTGGGGCAAGGTGCTCTACTCAGTGTTCCCCAGTGGCTGGAGGAGGTGCTCCAAAGGCCCCCTGAGCACGGGGCTGGGAGGCCAAGGAGCGTCCTGGCCACAAGAGGTGGGCCTGGCTTGGAACAGGTGGGTGAGCAGGGTGCCTGGGGCAATGACTGCCTGCTCTGTCCTGAGTTTTGCCCCCTTCCTGGCATCCTGCAGCAAAGCGCATGGCCACCTGCCCCAAGTCCATGACCTACCACTACCAGATCAGCGCCTGCCAGCCCACCTGTCGCGCCCGGACCGCTGAGGACGTCACCTGCGGCATTGCCTTCGTGCCCGTGGACGGCTGCACCTGCCCCCATGGCACCTTCCTGGATGACTTGGGCAAGTGTGTGCCGGCCACCAGCTGTCCCTGCTATCACAGGGGCTCTGCACTGCCCAACGGGGAGTCGTTGCATGAGCACGGGGTCATCTGGTAAGAGCCTGCGCTGCGCAGGTGGGGTGGGGGGGACAGGACAGGCTGGGGACCCTCTGACCACCCTCTCCTCTCAGTACCTGCACACAGGGCACCCTGACCTGCATTGGAGGCCATGCCCCTGCCCCAGGTGAGCCCAGGTAGGGGAGGGAGGGCAGGGGAGTGGGGCATGTGAAGCTTCGGGGTTGAATGCCCCAAGTCAGCAGGGTGGAGCTGGCCAGTGCCTGTCAGGCCTGGCCTGTGCCCTCTGGGCTCAGAGAGGGCGAGTGGGCACACTGCCTATGGGTTCATGCACACACCAGCCAGCCATGCCCCAGGCTGCCCAGACTCGAGTATGCAGCAGCTATGTCCCTCAGAGTGAGCCTGGCGGGTGGTGGTCCGGGTGCCCTGAACGGCCCTTCCCTCCCCAGTGTGCGCCCCACCCATGGTCTACTTTGACTGCCGCAATGCTACGCGTGGGGCCCTGGGGGCTGGCTGTCAGAAGAGCTGCCACACCCTGGACATGGACTGTGTGAGTATGGCCCCCAGGGACCCTCCACCTGCAGACCCTCACCACACCTGTGGAGAAGCCCACATGGGCAGCTCCTGGGGAGCGCCCCTGCTGGGGTGCTTGCTTGGCCCACCAGTCCCTCTGCAGACCACCCGGCTGGGCGCTGGCCCCAGTGCAGTCCCTGGGGGACCGTCCACTGCTGTGTGGCAAGCTGTACCTGGCTCTGCCCACTGAACCGTCTGCTGTCCCACAGTACAGCCCCCACTGCGAGTCCGGCTGCCTGTGTCCCGATGGGCTGGTGGCCAACGGTGAAGGCGGCTGCATCGCTGAGACTGACTGCCCCTGTGTGCACAATGAGGCCAGCTACCTGCCTGGCCAGACCATCCGGGTGGGCTGCAACACATGGTATGTGTGTGGGGGGGTCGCCCTGCGGCAGAGCGCAGCCTGGTCAGGCCCCTGAAAGGTCCCCCTGGGATGGGACCCTGCGGCTGGGGCCTGATGGGCAGCCCCCTGCAGCACCTGCAAGGACAGGATGTGGCAGTGCACAGAAAAGCCCTGCCTGGCCACCTGCGCGGCCTATGGGGATGGCCACTTCATCACCTTCGACGGTGCACGCTACAGCTTCAGCGGGGACTGCGAGTACACACTGGCCCAGGTACGCGGCCCCACTGCCCAGGGTGCAGGACACCCATTTGGCCTTCCGGTGGGGAGGGGGCAGGGCTGGCCTCACCCTGGACCATCCTGCTCCCTAGGACCACTGTGGCGGGAATAGCAGCTTCCAGGACACCTTCCGCGTGGTCACTGAGAACGTCCCCTGTGGCACCACAGGGGCCACCTGCTCCAAGGCCATCAGGATCTTCCTGGGGGTGAGTAGGGGGTTGCAGGGCCAACAGGGAGCCCCAGGAAGGCGGCACCTGCACGTCCCAGCCGGGATGCACCCCAGGGCCAGTGGGCCTGCTGGAAGGCGGTGGGTCCTCGCGAGGCACTGAGAGGCCGCTCCCCCCGCAGAGCCACGAGCTGAAGCTGAGCGACGGCAAAGTGGGGGTGACCGAGAAGAGCGCGGGCCGGGAGGCACCCTACACCATCCGCCAGATGGGCATCTACCTGGTGCTGGACACCACAGCTGGCCTGGTGCTGCTGTGGGACAGAAGGACCAGCATCTTCCTAAGGCTCAGCCCCGAGTTCAAGGTGAGGCGGCCAGGCCCAGGGCTGGGGCAGGGGAGACTGAAGACACAGGGACAGAGAGACAGGGAGAGAGAGACAAGGAGGGCGAGGTGGCAGGAGACCTTTTGCTACGTGTAGTGTCTGTCCCGTGGCTGCCGGGACAGATGCCCACAAACCCGGGGCTCCTGGTCTCTGGAGCCGGAAGCCCAGGCGGGGCCTCGGGGGCCACACTCCCTCTGGAGCCCTGGCGCAGGGTTCCTCTTGCCTCTTCCAGCTCTGGGGGCTTGTGGCCATGTCCCCCCAGTCCCCAGAATTTCCTGTCTTCACTTGCTCCCATCTGCAGAGACCCTGTTTCCACATAAGGCCACACACCTGGGTCCTGGGTCAGAGCCTGAGCCTGACTTTGGGGGTCCCCACTGAGCCACAGTGAGGTGCCCCACTATGCTGTTTCTCTCATGCCCCCTTCCTCCAGAAGAGGCTGGGGTGTGCCCCAAGGCCCTGGATGTGGAGGGGGCTGTCAGAGAGCCCCCCTCTCTCAGCCCTCCTTGACCCAGGGGAGGGTGTGGGGTGAGGGAGCCTGAGGGCTGGGGAAGGGCATATGGCCCCCCATGCTGGCCCAGAGCCCCCACCTCCTTTGGTGTCTACAGGGACGCTGCCAGGGGGGAGCTGGGTGCCCTGCAGTCACCCTCCTGGGCTGGCCCTGTGCTCCAGCTCCACCTCTCTCGGCATCTGCAGGGGCGCATCTGCGGGCTGTGCGGGAACTTTGATGGCAATGCCGTGAACGACTTCACCACACGGAGCCAGTCCGTGGTGGGCGACGTGCTGGAGTTTGGCAACAGCTGGAAATTCTCCCCATCCTGTCCTGATGCTCTGGCCACCAGGGACCCCTGTACCGCCAACCCGTACCGCAAGGCCTGGGCCCAGAAGCAGTGCAGCATAGTCCACAGCGCTACCTTCGCCACCTGCCATGCCCATGTATGCAGGGTGCTCCTGGGAGCCTCGGGAGGAGGGACTGATATGGGGGCAGCAGCATGTGGGCATTGTGTGGGCCATGTGTCTGCTTTCCCTGAGCTCCAGGGAGCCAGCTGAGGTCGAGAGCAGGCCCGGCCTGGTCCCCCAGGAGCCTATGGCCAATGCCAGGTCCCAAGCCCCTCTGTCCATCAGGTGGAGCCAGCCAAGTACTACGAGGCGTGCGTGCAGGACGCGTGCGCCTGTGACTCCGGGGGTGACTGCGAGTGTTTCTGCACGGCCGTGGCTGCCTACGCCCAGGCCTGCCATGACGCGGGCATGTGCGTGTCCTGGCGGACCCCGGACCGCTGCCGTGAGTGCACACGCGGCCTGCCAGTGGGCGGGGACATGCGGGAGGGAGAAGAGCAGAGCGCTGATTGATGCGTGCCTGCTGCTGGGAGGGTAGTAAGGGGAATGAACCGGGTGGGGGTTGCTGATGTGGTAGAAGTTCTGGACCCAAGGGCCCGCAGAGCCCCTGCCCCCGGCCCCGCTGGAGTCCCCCAGGCCCACAGGTGGCACCCCTGAGGAGCCATGGCGACTGCGAGCTGGGCCCCCTCTCAAGCCCTGCAGGCCACACTGAAAGCACAGGGGAGGGATTGGCTTCAGAACAGCCCATGGGGTTTGGTCAGGGTGGGCTGCTGGGCGGCCCTCCTGGCTGAGGGCCTCCCTCTGAGCGTGCCTCCTCTCCTCTAGCTCTCTTCTGTGACTACTATAACCCCAAGGGCCAGTGTGAGTGGCACTACCAGCCCTGTGGGGTGCCCTGCATGAGGACCTGCCGGAACCCTCACGGCCAGTGCCTGCAAGATGTGCGCGGCCTGGAAGGTGGGTAGCTTCCCAATGTCCCACAAGGGACGGTCCCTGGGGAGCCCCTGATTGGGGCTGAGGGCTGTCTGGGGACCTTGGGACCCTCAGTGGGACTTGAGGTGTCTTTGGGGGAAGCCTCATGCTCTGCACTGGTCTGGCCCACAGGTTGCTACCCCAGGTGCCCGCCGAAGGCCCCCATCTTTGACGAGGACCAGATGAAGTGTGTGGCCAAGTGCCTGGTCCCGACCCCACCTCAGCACTGCCTCATCCGGGGCAGGTCATACCGGCCGGGAGCAGCTGTGCCCTCCGATGAGAACTGCCACTCCTGGTGAGCCGCTTGGCAGAGGGGCCTGGGGTGCAGGGGGGTTCACCGCCCCCCCCGCAGGGCCTCACCCTCAGGAAAGGAGGGACCCTGGGGGCTGGGTTTCCTGCGGGTCCCACCAGGGGGCTCCCAATGTAGGATGGGGTGAAGGGCAGCGGCGTAAGCAGGGTGGGTCGGAGAGGACATCCCCACCCTGGGACAGATGCCCTGGCAGGGACACAGCCACTGGACACCATGGGGCCCACTGGCTGTGCTGGACTCTCGCCTCCTTTGCCATTGTTGGAAGGGGTGCCCAGAGGGCAAGTCCACCCCTGGGCCTGAGACGTGGCCCCTAGGGCACCCTGTGGGGGCTGCTCCTGCCCATGCCCCCGCATGAAGGGATGCCTTGCACCCCCAGACTTATCCTCTTCCTTCCGTCACCAGCATTTGCACAGAGAGCGGCATGCAGTGTGCTTACGACGCCAAGGGTGAGTGGCAGAGTGGCCTTCCCTGGGACTGGGGTTTTGGGGCTCCCGCCTGCACCGCAGCCCCCTGATGCGCCCACCCTCTGCTCCCACAGCCTGTGTTTGCATCTACGGTGGGCGGCACTTCCATCGGGGGGAGGTCATCTACCATACAACAGATGGCACGGGGGGTTGCATTTCTGCCCGCTGCGGGACCAATGGCACCATCGACCGGATGGTCTATGCCTGCGGCCCCACCACCCCCGTGCCCCAGACCACCTTCTCCTTCTCCATGCCTTCACCGGGTAAGGCAGACGTTCCCTAGTGGGGCTGGCCCTCGCCCAGGGAATGGGAAGGGGGATCAGGAACAGGACAGAGGCTCTTTCCCCTGCCAGTCATCGCACAGCTGGGAGGATCAGCCTCCCTGGGTCTCCCTGGCAGGACAGGGCTCCCAGAATGGGGCAGTGGCTGTGGGTGAGGTGCCCCAGGCTGGGCTCAGGGGGAGGGCCACTGACAGCACCTCGCGTGGGGGGTTCTTCTCCCAGGCACTGCCATCTTCTGACCTGACGCTCCACCAAGTGCCAGGCAGCAGAGTCCTCTCCCCCTCTGGTGGGGCATCTTAGGGCTTTCTCACAGCTACCCCAAGAGTGAAGACCCCTGAAACTGGCTTCGGGGCACTACACATACAGATTCTGCTCAGGGTGTGCCAGGGGGCAGCCTTTCCTTCAGTGAGATTGATTCACCCATTAATTAAACTGCTGTGTGCTCCATGCTGGCATGTGCCTGGCACACCCTAGGGTGCCCCCTCTCCCCAAGCCCCTTTCATGGGTGGAGACACGAAGGCAGACTATTACAAGTGAAACCCCAAGGCAGCTGGCCGATAGGGGGAGCAACAGACGATGAAGTGGGGGGTCCCTTAGGACCCCAAGAGAGGGCTGGACCCTGATGCTTGGCCCTTCTGCCCTCTCTTCATCCCTCAGGTGTGAGCTCAACACGCCCCAGCCCCTTCAAGAGCACAGTGCCCACAGGCACTCTGAGCACGGTCCCACCTACCACCACGGGCACGTCCCCCAGGCTGGCATCTTCAGTGGCCTCCACCTCTCCCAGCCTGGGCTGTGGGGAAGATTGCCAGTGGTCACCCTGGCTGGACATCAGCCATCCGGGCCGGGGCATCGACAGTGGGGACTTCGACACACTGGAGAACCTTCGGGCCCATGGGTACCGGGTCTGCCAAGTGCCAAGGGAGGTGCAATGCCGAGCTGAGGACGTTCCTGAGGTGCCACTCCAGGTCCTGGGACAGCGTGTGGACTGCAGCCCGACGGTGGGGCTTGTCTGTTACAACAAAGACCAGCATTCGGGGCTCTGCCTCAACTACCAGCTCAGGGTCCAGTGCTGCTTCCCCCGAACCTGTGCCACCTCCAGCGGTCACACCGTCCCCACCCCTCCTGCAACCATGCTTGGGAACACCACAGGCACACGTCCGACAGGGAGCCCACCTTCCCCAGCCCCTGTCACCACAACTAGCAAAACACCTACCCCAGGTGCCTCTACGCCTGTTCCAGGTACAACTACAACTGCAAAATCAACTCTCCCAACCCCGAGACCACCACCACCAGTTTCAACAACAGCTTCAACAACTTCTGTGTCTGCCCCAACTCCATGGTCCATGGAGCCAACCTCACCTGACACCAGCCAGGTCACCTGTTCACAAGTCCGGTGCACCTGGACTCGGTGGATCGACGGCAGCTACCCTAAGTCAGACAGGAACAGTGGAGATTTTGAGACTTTTCAAAATTTGAGATCAAAAGGGTATAAATTCTGTGAAAGGCCAAGTAATGTGGAGTGCAGGGCACAGATCTTCCCAAACACCCCACTGGCGGAGCTGGGGCAGGATGTGGTCTGTGACAAAAACGTAGGGCTACTGTGCCTGAACAAGGACCAGCTGCCGCCGATCTGCTACAACTACGAAATCCGGATCCAGTGCTGTGAGCCCGTGGATGTTTGCACAGGACCCACCAGCCATCCAGTAACATCATGGACCAAACGCTACACCTCAAAAAAACTTAGTGCAACCCCTGTGCCAGTACCCAGCATGACTCCTGTGCAAACAACCAGCCCAACCACTCTGCCAACAATAAGCACCTCTGAGCCAACCCCCAGCACAACCTCTGTGCCATCAAGCAGCCCGACCTCTGTCTCTACACCAGTGACGACCGCTACCAACTCCATGTCCACCCCCTGCAGGCCCCAGTGCACGTGGACCAAGTGGTTTGACGTGGACTTCCCATCCCCTGGCCCCCAAGGAGGAGACATGGAAACCTTCAGCAACATCATCAGACGTGGGGAGCAAATCTGCCGCCTGCCTGAATTCATCACCCACCTGGAGTGCCGAGCCGAGAATCACCGCGAGGTCAGCATCGAACAGCTGGGCCAGGTGGCGCTGTGCAACCCTGACGTGGGCCTGGTGTGCCGCAATAGCGACCAGAAGGGAAAATTCAGGATGTGCCTCAACTATGAGGTCCGCGTACTGTGCTGTGAGCCCAGGGGAATCTGCCCATCCACCATCACTCCTTCCACAGGACACACCACCTCAAGTGTGAGCAACATGACGCTGACAGTGTCCACCACCCGCGTGAGCGCATCGAGTACAACCTCTGTGCTGACAAGCAGTCCAGCTTCTGTGCCAGCCACCCACTCAACCTCTGTGTCAACCAGCAGCCCAACATCGGTGCCAATAACCAGCACCTCTGTGGCAACCTCTAGCCCAACTTCTGTACCAATAACCAGCATGACCACTGTGCAAACCACCAGCCCAATCTCTGTGTCAACAATCAGCCCAACCCCTCTGCCAACAACAAGCACTTCTGTGCCAACCTCCAGCACAACTTCTGTACCAATAACCAGCACAAACCTTGTTCCAACAACCAGACCAACCCCTGTACTATCAACCAGTGCAACACCTGTGACGGTAACCAGTACCTCTGTGCCAACCTCCAGCCCAACTTTTGTACCAGTAACCAACACAACCCCAGTTCTGATGACCAGCCCAACCTCTGTGCCTATAACCAGCATGACAACGGTGCTGATAACCAGCACAACCTCTGTGCCAATAACCAGCACAAATCGTGTGCAAACCACCAGCCCAACCTCTGTCACAACTTCCAGCACAACTTCTATACCAATAACCAGCACAACCCCTGTTCCAACAACCAGCACAACCTCTGTACTATCAACCAGTGCAACACCTGTGCCAGTAACCAGCACCTCTGTACCAACCTCCAGCACAACTTCTGTTCCAATAACCAGCATGACCCCTGTGCAAACCACCAGCCCAACCTCTGTGACAACTTCCAGCACAACTTCTATACCAATAACCAGCACAACCCCTGTTCCAACAACCAGCACAACCTCTGTACTATCAACCAGTGCAACACCTGTGCCAGTAACCAGCACCTCTGTACCAACCTCCAGCACAACTTCTGTTCCAATAACCAGCATGACCCCTGTGCAAACCACCAGCCCAACCTCTGTCACAACTTCCAGCACAACTTCTATACCAATAACCAGCACAACCCCTGTTCCAACAACCAGCACAACCTCTGTACTATCAACCAGTGCAACACCTGTGCCAGTAACCAGCACCTCTGTACCAACCTCCAGCACAACTTCTGTTCCAATAACCAGCATGACCCCTGTGCAAACCACCAGCCCAACCTCTGTGACAACTTCCAGCACAACTTCTATACCAATAACCAGCACAACCCCTGTTCCAACAACCAGCACAACCTCTGTACTATCAACCAGTGCAACACCTGTGCCAGTAACCAGCACCTCTGTACCAACCTCCAGCACAACTTCTGTTCCAATAACCAGCATGACCCCTGTGCAAACCACCAGCCCAACCTCTGTGCCAACTTCCAGCACTACTTCTGTACCAATAACAAGCACAAACCCAGTACCAATAACTGGCACAAACACTGTGCTGATAACCAGCACCTCTGTGCCAACCTTCAGTACAACTTCTGTACCAATAACCAGCACAAGCTCTGTTCCAATCACTAGCTCAACCTATGTACCAGCAACCAGTGCAACACCTGTGCCAATAACCAGCACCTCTGTGCTAACCACCAGCACAACTTCTGTACCAATAACCAGCACGACCATTGTGCAAACAACCAGTCAAACCTCTGTGTCAACAACCAGCCCAATATCTGTGCAAACAATAAGCAGTTCTGTGCCAACCTCCAGCACAACTTCGGTTCCAATAATCAGCACGACCCCTGTGCAAACCACCAGCCCACCTTCTGTCTTAACAATCAGCCCAACCCCTCTGCCAACAACCAGCACCTCTTTGCCAACCTCCAGCACAACTTCTGTACCAATAACCAGCACAATCCCTGTGCAAACGACCAGCCCAACTCCAGTTCTGATAACCAGCCCAAGCTCTGTGCTTATAACCAGTACAACACCAGTGCCGATAACCAGCACAACCTCTGTGCCAATAACCAGCACAACCCCTGTGCAAACCACCAGCCCAACCTCTGTGCCAACCTCCAGCACAACTTCTGTACCAATAACCAGCACTACACTTGTTCCAACAACCAGTCCAACCTCGGTGCCGATAACCAGCACCTCTGTGCCAACCTCCAGCACAACTTCTGTACCAATAACCAGCACAACCTCTGTGCAAACAAGCAGCCCAACCTCTGTCTCTATACCAGTGAAGACCACCACCCACCATGTGCGCTTCAACTGCAGGCCCCACTGCACGTGGACCAAGTGGTTTGATGTGGACTTCCCATCCCCCGGCCCCCAAGGAGGAGACATGGAAACCTTCAGCAACATCATCAGACGTGGGGAGCAAATCTGCCGCCTGCCTGAATTCATCACCCACCTGGAGTGCCGAGCCGAGAACCACCGCGAGGTCAGCATCGAACAGCTGGGCCAGGTGGCGCTGTGCAACCCTGACGTGGGCCTGGTGTGCCACAACAGCGACCAGAAGGGAAAATTCAGGATGTGCCTCAACTATGAGGTCCGCGTGTTGTGCTGTGAGCCCAGGGGAATCTGCCCATCCACCATCACTCCTTCCACAGGACACACCACCTCAAGTGTGAGCAACATGACGCTGACAGTGTCCACCACCCGCGTGAGCACATCCAGTACAACCTCTGTGCCGACAAGCAGTCCAGCTTCTGTGCCAGCCACCCGCTCAACCTCTGTGTCAACAACCAGCACAACATTTGTGCCAATAACCAGCACAAGCCCCATGCAAACCAGCAGCCCAACCTCTGTGCCAACCTCCAGCACAACTTCTGTACCAATAACCAGCTCAACCCCAGTACCGATAAACAGCACAAACACTGTGCCAATAACCAGCACCTCTGTGCCAACCTCCAGCACAATTTCTGTACCCATAACCAGCACAACTCCAGTGCTGATAACCAGCCCAACTTCTGTATCAACAACCAGTGCAACCCCTGTTCCAACAACCATCCCAACCCTTGTGTCCACCACCAGCTCAACCCCTCTGCTAAAATCCAGTACATCTGTGCCAACCTCCAGCACAATTTCAGTACCAATAACCAGCATGACATCTGTGCAAACCACCAGTCCAACCTCTGTATCAACAGCGAGCACACCTGCACCAACTTCTAGCACTTCTGTGCCGATAACCAGCACAACCCCTGTGCAAAGAACCAGCCGAAACTCTGTATCAAAAACCAGCCCAACCCGTGTGCCAAAAACCAGCATCTCTGTGCCATCCTCCAGCCCAACTTCTGTACCAATAACCAGCACAATGTCTGTGCAAACAACCAGTCCAACTTCTGTGTCAACAACTAGCACAACTGCTGTGCCAACCTCCAGCACAACTTCTGTACCAATAACCAGCACAAGCCCTGTTCCAATCACCACCTCAACCTCTGTACCATCAACCAGTGCAACACCTGTGCCTATAACCAGCACCTCTGTGCCAACTGCCAGCACAACATCTGTACCAATAACCAGCATGATCATTGTGCAAACAACCAGTCAAACCTCTGTGTCAACAACCAGCCCAACATTTTTGCGAACAATAACCACTTCTGTGCCAACCTCCAGCACAACTTCTGTACCAATAGTCAGCATGACCCCTGTGCAAACCACCAGCCCAACCTCTGTGTCAACAATCAGCGCAACCTCACTGCCAACAACCAGCACCTCTTTGCCAACCTCCAGCACAACTTCTGTACCAATAACCAGTACAAACCCTGTTCCAACAACCAGCCCAACCTCTGTACCATCAACCAGTGCAACACCTGTGCCAGTAACCAGCACAACTGTGCAAACCTCTAGCTCAACTTCTGTACTAATAACCAGCACAACCCCAGTTCCGACAACCAGCCCAACCTCCATGCCTATAACCAGGAAAAATCCTGTGCAAACCACCAGCCCAACCTCTGTGCCAACCTCCCGCACAACTTCTGTACCAATAACCAGCACAACCCCTGTTCCAACAATCAGCCCAACCTCTCTGCACATAACCAGCACCTCTGTGCCAACCTCCAGCACAACTTCTGTACCAATAACCAGCACAACCCCTGTTCCAACAACCAGACCAACCTCTGTGCCAACAATGAGACCAACCTCTGTGCTATCAACAAGTGCAACACCTGTGCCCATATCCAGCACCTCTGTGCCAACCTTCAGTACAACTTCTGTACCAATAACCAGCACAAGCTCCGTTCCAATCACTAGCTCAACCTCTGTACCAGCAACCAGTGCAACACCTGTGCCAATAACCAGCACCTCTGTGCTAACCACCAGCACAACTTCTGTACCAATAACCAGCACGACCATTGTGCAAACAACCAGTCAAACCTCTGTGTCAACAACCAGCCCAA